CCTGCTGCAGAAGGAAGGAAAGACTGCTGCTTCTGCTTAATGCATTAGAGACATTAGAAGAGCAATTTATCTAAGTGAAAATGTGAACTCTGCAATGCATCCAAGGTCAGATCTATAGCAATTTGCAAAGTAGGTGCCAGTCAGGGCTGCGATGGATGTCCAACACAGCAACGTTTCACAAGGACTGTGACAGCAGCCAAAGGAGCAGTGTTGATGCTGCATGTGTGCATCCATCCCAGCATGCCATCCTCCTTTTCTCCTTCTGGCTGATGCATAGCTCCCAGATGCATAATGGAGGTATCCTAGATGTCTCCTCAGATTATGCTTGTTCAAATTAATTTTCCTTCCTTTCAATTAATTTCCTGGTCTTTGTCTAAACCAATGTTAAGAAACAATTGTGTAACAACTTTTCAAGTAACAGCACAGGAACATAGAATCATAGAATTTCAAGGGTTGGAACGAACCTTAGAGATCATCTAGTCCCAACCCCTGCCCTGGGCAGGGACACCTCCCAGCAGAGCAGGTTGCTCAAGGCTCATCCAACCTGGCTGTGAACACTGCCAGGGTTGGGGCAGCCACAGCCTCCCTGGGCAACCTGGGACAGTGTCTCACCACCAGAACAGGAAAACACTTTTTCCTAATCTCTAACCTAAATTTCCCCTCTCTCAATTTGTACCCATTGCCCCTTGTCCTGTCCCTGCAGCTCCTAACACAGATCCCTCTGCAGCTTCCCTGGAGCCCCTTCAGCTCCTGCAAGGTGCTCTGAGATCTCCACACAACCTTCTCTTCTCCAGGCTGAACAGCCCCAACTCCCTCAGCCTGTCCTCACAGGGAGATGCTCCAGTCCTCTTATCAGCTTCCTGGACCTCCTCTGGACTTTCTCCAACAGTTCCATGTCCTTACATTGAGAGCAACATGACCAAAACAGCCAAAGCTTATACCCACTCAGATAGGACCTTGTTGAGTCATGCATGAGGTTGAGAAAATCTGACCATCCATGTCTTAGAAATATATTGTCAAGCAACAACACTATAGACCACCTGGTGCTGCCAGCCCAGAACTCCTGGGCCTTGGAGCTCGACTAACATTACTATTGCCAATATCATGAAAGCGAAAAAATACCCAAACACCCAACCCAAACAAAAAACCCTAAAATAAAATTTGTCAATAATTTCTTTTGGTGGTTTGGCGCCGCCTGGTGGCCACGTCCTGTAATGTCGTTTGACATGGCCAGGATGGTTTGCCCTCTCCCTCCCTGGGCACAGCAGCATCTCTCCTTGGGGACCAGGGCACTTGTTCTGAGAGGCACAACATCACCAGTGCAAGGACTTGCATTTTAGGCAGTCAAGGGGCTCTTCAATCTATCTCTCCATTCAAGAACACATTTGAATTTTATACCAGGTTTCTCATGGCTGCTTTTCATGGTGGGTAGGATTTTTGGAAATGCCTGAGTGAAGAGAGGATTTTCAGAGGCTGATAGATATGGGCAGATAGATACACAGACTGGGGTTCATCTGGTCTAACTTCAGATGTTAAAACACAGGTATTTAGGTTGGAGTTGGTCACCCCTGAATCCTGTTTACATCCAGTGGGGATAGATATGCACTTCTTGGGCCTATTTCATACACAAGGATGATATGAGCTATTTCGTGGTATTGACTTCTCTCTGATGATTATCAAAGGCAATTGGGGACTGACTATTCCTGTCCATGGCAGGATGATCTTTTAAGTCCCTTCCAACACAAACCATTCTATGAATCTGTGATTCTATAAATCAGATGTAGCCATTTGTCCTGTGGTCAAATGAATCCCATGCATACAGA